GACTGACTGGCTGGGTGACTGACTGACTGGGTGACTGGCTGACTGACCGACTCACTGGCTGGGTGACTGACTGACTGACTGACTGACTAGGTGACTGGCTGACTGACTGACTGACTGGCTGGCTGGGTGACTGACTGACCCCGCCCCCCAGAGACAGACAGACTTGCAATCATTGTAAACAGACAGCCGGCTGTGGATCACTGCCTTTGCTGGCATTTAAACCCCCCATGGGGGGGGGGGGGGGGGGGCTCCAGATTAACCAGCAGAGCTCATTAATATTCATACCCCCACAGTGCAGATCCTTTCTAGCTCTTCTAGCTCTACTATAGCTGCATTATTCAACACAAACATCAATTCCTGCTCTGAGCATCAATAATGAACAACTCTTTAACAGACCAACATATTGGGTCAGAACCAGAACATATTGGATCAGAACCAGAACATACTGGGTCAGAACCAGAACATATTGGGTCAGAACCAGAACATATTGGGTCAGAACCAGAACCTCCTGGTTCCAGATAGAACCTTTATGATGGGAGGAACCTCCAGGAGAACCGTGGAGGAGGTGGAACAGGTTCCATTAAAGCTGCTGCTCCTGCTCCAAGCTCTGAAGCGGAGCCAGAAGCTGGTCAGCAGGACCATGGGTCCAGACCAGCACAACCAGTGGAACCAGTAAGGTTGGACTCACCCCGTTGGCCGTGCTCACAGCCTGGTAGTAGATGCCGTAACTCTTGTGAGGCAGCAGAGGAGCGTTCCAGTAACCGCTGTAGGTCCTGTTATCACCTGTCCAACACACAGGTCCACAGGTTAACTAACCCGTCTCACTCTGGTTACCTGCTGGTTACCACAGCTACCCGTGACCTGCGCTTCCATTCAGGAGGCCTGATGGAGGGTGAGAGATAATCCCACTAACCGACACAGAAGGGCAGAGGACTCCTCAGCTCCGCCATGGGCAGCTCGGCGCTGAAGTAATACGGCGAGTTGAGCAGCGAGGCGTTCTGGAAATGAACGGGAACCGGATAGCAGCGAAGGATCTCTGCTGTTCCTCTCCTCAGCCTGCGGGGGCGCTCCTCCTCCACCACCACCTGGTACTTACTGCAGACAGGCAGGGACAGAGGGGGACACAGGTGGACAAGAGATGCAGGTGGACAGGGGACACAGGTGGACAGGAGACACAGGTGGAGAGGAGACGCAGGTAGACAGGAGACACAGGTGGAGAGGAG